TCGACTTTCTTAGTGTCCTCATCAGCAGTGGACAGAGTACATAGGCTTTCTTTGCCTTTGTCTGGCCCTGCGACAGGCCCCAGCCTCCTCCCTAGGCTTCACCCCGTGGGGAACCAGCTATTTCCCACAACGGTGTAGCATGACTCCTCTGTCTTTCTTCACTCTATTCTAGAAGTTCTTTAAAAAAAAAAGAATTTGAGTTAGTGTTGGAAAGCTTGGGTTCGGACCTACACTCTACTCCTTACCTTGGACTAATTACCGAATGTCTCTAAGTCTCAGCTTCCCACCTACCTACCGGCTTCATATTTCCTCAGGGAGACACTTCTGGTAAAACAACACTTCAGTCTGTTCCATATCCGATTGCAGAATGTGGAAGGAAAAACCCTAAGCAAGCTCAGTACCTACATCTCTGGCCTCCCTTTTCCACATGTGCCTTGTTACAGAGGAGGTGGATTCTGGGTTGGTCTGTACCATGTGACAATTTTGCTCAGTCAGGTTCTGCTCCTACAAAAGGAAAGACTAAGTTTTGGAGACAAGTTCAAATTAGAACAGTTCAGCATCAGTTTTAAGAACTAAGTCAATGGGTCAAAGGCACTAGCTGAATCTATTTTTTTCCTTGTGTTAATTAATCAACTTAACCAACATTTAGTGAGCAGCTTACATACAAAGCTATTATGTCATGAATAGCAGAGATGCCAGGATAAATAAGACAGTTCTCTTTTCTCAAACAGTCACTCTTGCATGATGAAAGATGAATTCATATATTGTTAACAAGCCAGAATTAGTAAAGCCAAAATAGAGATATAAAGTATTATTAGAGTTGTATACTAGAGAATGGTATATAATTTAACTCATCGCTACATGCATTGACATATACTATAGGTAAGGGCCAAAATCATAAAACTACCTACTTGAGGCATCTGCCATAACATCACAAAGCTGTTAAGAAATATTAGCACTTGATTAAAGGCCAATATCAGAGAAACATTCCCCTGTATCTGAAAGCAGTATACTCATTATCAACTAGGTTTTCCATGACACATTAGCAAATGTGATTGATTTGCTCATAACAGGAGCTCTCAATTCATTATTTATGGACCATAATTTGAATGGAGAGGATTAAAAATTTAATTTAAAAATTTTCCTAAGTTTAGGACTGCCAAAAATATATAAATCTGGCCAATTCAGCCTGAAAGAGAAAGCCTAATTATTTAGTCATCAGCATTGACTTCAACCCACAGGATCCACAGTCTGTGTAAAGGAAATGAGGACACAGCTAGTGAATTAGTGGAATTTTATTTTATTTTATTTTATTTTTGCTGAGGAAGATTTGCCCTGAGCTAACATCTATGCCAATCTTCCTCTATTTTTCAGTATGTGGGCTGTCAGCACATCACGGCCACTAACAGAATGGTGTATGTTCATGCCTGGGAACCGAACCTGGGCCGGGAAAGTGAAGCATGCCGAACTCAACCACTAGGCCACCAGGGCTGGCCCCAGTTAGTGGAATTTTTAACAGGGAGAAGATTGCTGGGCAGCTCAGCTTACCTACCTTACTAATTTTTCAGTGTGGTTTCAAGGTGGAAAGGCATATAGAGGTAAAGAAGACATGACAAGGTATTTGGTATGTAATTTACTTGAAATCTTCCACCAATTCATCCCAGTGAGATTTTGTTCAAATAATTTATCTTTTTTTTTGGTACCCTTCTGTCTTACTGGATTCAAGTTAAAGCACAAGCAAGAAAGAGTGATATCTTTCGTAGGTTCAGTGTTCAAAAGTTAGGGAGGCCAGACAAGATCTCTATATTTCCATATAGTTAAATGCGTTGCAGAAAGCACCTCCTAATTTTCTGTGACTTTTAGCTGTATCCAGGCAAATGAGATGCCAATTAGTGAAGCGTGGGAGGCGTGCGGTTGTGAAATAGAAGTTGAAGGCATTGACTAACAGGCATCACTAGGATGCCAGATGTATTTGGGGAAAAACAGAAACCTCATTTAACTAAAAACACACAATGTGATTATTGGTGTCTGTTTCTAAACCACACACTCAATAGGCCTGTGATTATAGTTTTTTAAGTATCCAATGGCTAGAGAAAACCTAGGAAATCAAAAAAAGAGGCACAGACAAGCTATTCCATAAGAGCAATGCACAATTAAAATCTATATAAGAAATCACAGTATGCCACCACTGGCCTTCGTGTGTGCGTGGCTAGACAGAGTAGACAGATCTTACCTTCTTGCCTAACTCTACTACTAGAATCTATGCTATTTTAGGGATCACTGGTGCTTCCCCACTGCACAGGGCAGCCTTGAACAGACATCATTCATCCATCAGCGTTGGGAGGTGGGTAACACATGTTGACTGAATTAATTAATATATTGTGCCTTGGATATAGCTACTGCAGCCAAGTCTGAAAGGTTGATCAAATACACGCTTGTACCAGGCCTAAAGAAAACCCACTACACCACTGCCTGACACGGAGAATGCGGCATTGACAGAAGCACCAATTTCCATCCATCCGCTTCAGAGGCTGCTCTCTTAGAAGAATGTCTGAAAATTCAACATTCAGACTAGGTTTTTCTCACTTGCAAAGTACTTTTTTTTTATCTAGGACTTCTTTTTATAGGGTGCTGCCTATTTTTCCTAGTACCAAGAAATTTGCAGGCTTAAATAGTGACATGAAAACAAACCTAAAGACTCACAATATAAGACACCTAAAATAGACAAATTAAAGTGAATTATTATAGAATATGCAAAATGTGCTCTATCTACAGATTTGTGATAATGAGAGCAGACAAGAAAGAGAGTTATTTCAAAGTACAAGAAATTTTTAAAATTACATTAAATAACAGATTATGAAACTGACAGAATTTAGTGGCATTAAAACGACTCTACCCCAGAGGCATTCACCCCAAAGTTTTGGACACTCTCTTGTCTATATATGAAAAAAAGAGTATGAGTCTAGAGAATATAGTATTTATGGAATAAAAGTAACAATAATAACAATAGCTAATACTGATACAGCCCCTACCTACTATGTGCTAGGTACTGTTCTAAGTACTTATTATAAATTGACACAGTTACTTCTCACAGCAGCCCTAAGAAGAAGATGCTTTTTGCTGTCCCATTTCAAATATGAAAAAACTGATGCTCGAGCAGAATATTATTAGGAAGAATCAGAGCCAGGATTTGAATTCATATGCTCAGGATCTATAGTCTGTGCTCTTACTAATAAGGAACAGGAAAGCACAAGCCTGTTCCCACAGTAAACCACCGATCCAAAAGGAACCATATGACATACTACACCTACCTCAACAATCATACACTTAGAGAGGGACAAAATTAAAAAAACAAAGGGGCAACTACCCCCATGATTGACCTAATGTCACCCCAGCATAAACCACTCTACTTTCAAACTTCCCCTAATCTCACAGTGTCAGGCTGTATTAGTTTTCTATTGTTGTTATAAGAAAACTACCACAAACTCTCTTATCTTATAGTTCCAGAGGTCAGAAGTCTCACTGGGCTAAAATTAAGGTGTCAGTAGGAGGCCAAGGGGAGAATCTGTTTCTTTGCCTTTTCCAGCTTCTAAAAGTCACCCACATTCCTTGGCTTGTGGCTGCATTCCTCCATCTTCAAACCATCAAGGTCAGGCTGAGTCCCTTCCATGCTGCCAGCTTTCTTTCATTTAGCAGGTCCCTGGTGATTACATTGGGCCCAAGCACACAATCAAGGATAATGGCAAGGTCATCTGATTAGCAACCTTAATTCTCCCTCACCAAGTAACATAACACATTCATAGGGTGCAGGGATTAGGAAGTGGGGAGTCACTCTTCTGCCTACCACATGGACATACCAAGATTAGTTCATGAACTTGAGGTAGAAGACAGAATATACCCATACAGTTGGTCTAGGAATCGTTCATGACAAACGGGATGGAACTTTGTAAATTTATCACACTACTCTTATAATATAGTTAAAATATGCAACAACCCAACTGCAAAAAAGGAAATTTGACTAATTAGATACAGTTTCTGAAAAGAGCAAGGACTGGTTATGAGAACATCTGATCTCAACTTCTCTCTCTCACAAGTTCTGCAGTCTCACGCAAGACACTGACAGGTCTGAGCATCACTGTTCTCATCTACACAGTAGGGGTAATAACTCCTGACCTGCTTCATACTGGGATTGTATAGAGAATCAAATTAGGTTAAATCACAAGTCTGGAAACTGTAAGCAATAAAGCCCCATACAAATCAACTATGAATACAAGAAATCTCAGTATGATCACTTTTTAATTTTTTTTTAAAGATTGGCAACAGTTGGGTTGCCAATCTTCTTTTTTTTTTTCTCTCCTCCCCAAACTCCCCCAGTACATAGTTCCATATTCTAGTTGTGAGTGCCTCTGGTTGTGCTATGTGGGACGCCACCTCAACGTGGACTAATGAGCGGTGCCATGTCCGCGCCCAAGATCCGAACTGGAGAAACCCTGGGCTGCCAAAGCAGAGCGCGTGAACTTAACCCCTCGGCCATGGCGCTGGCCCTTCAATATGATCACTTTTATTCAAAATATAGTTATTTTTTAAAAAGAGTTCCAATGACAAAGATAAATAAGTGTATACATACAGCCTCCACATCTATCTTACCAGCATTCATATTAATAATAAGTTACTAACAATATAATTCTATTATTATTATTGAAATTTATCAGGTATTCCCTTTATAATATACTTTTGATGAAGGAAGGGTTTATATTTAGCTCTATTTTATATACAGAGAAACTGAAGTTTAATCTGTAGACCAAGATCCCACAGAACATGGAATCACAGGGGTAAAAGCCAAAAGTGCCAACTTTAACATCCATTCTATTTTAGAAAACGGACTGAAACACCAGCCAAACCAATATTTCCATTCACATTAAGACCCACCAGTTCCAGAAACAGCGTGACCTGGAAGAACCAGACAGAAGCAAACCTTCTTACACACGGAGGGTACTCACAAAGCAGCTCTACTGCAGAGAGTCCTAGAGTCCTTTGGTTTCCAAGACGCTTGTGTCTAAGTTTTCACAGAAAAACACCACATCTTAAGACCGACTCCTAGAAGAATCAAAGAATAGAATAACCATTTAAATATGGAGATGCATTTTTTTAAAAAAATGAAAAAAGTATCCAGCTGCATCTGTGCAAGACTTAATAGCACGTGGCTTTCTATTGCACCAGCTGAAATTGCTGTTCGCCTTCTCTAAATCGCCAAGGTTTTATTTAAAGGTCCCCTTTAGATGCAGACAGATTATTTAGTTAACTTACTTCGTATCACTACTAGCCATCTATCAGAACTATGGTGCCTGGCTTTACATTTTCTGTCCTAAGTCATATTTCCCAAAGTGCAGAAGAGTTCCTGCAAAAACGTCAAAGAGATTCACTTCAGTCCAATGTATTTGGGATTTCAAAACAACAACATGTTCTTAACTTTTGGGAGACTTTTCCCTCCACTTTTCGTAGGATAATGTATACGTGTGTGTGTATGTGTGTGTAGATTAAGCAATAACTTGAAATTTTTACATAAATACATTAAAACACTATTATATTAAGTTTATTAAGAAAAAAATTGAAGCATATGTCTAAAGTCTCCTAATAAATCAGAAATACTTTAAAAAGATCATCAAAATTTTGACTATCAATTCTTGTATGTTCTTTGATTATATGACCCTTTAAACAAGCTTTTGACTTTAATTCTCTTACCTGAAAAAAAAGAGGGTATGTAGTATTTAACTCAAAATTATGACCATTAAATTAAGTCAGTTAACCTTTGTAGAACGCTAGCCCAGTGCTTGGCAACAACATAATAACAACAATAAGAACAAATATTATTAATAATTGGTACTTGAGACAGGAAAATATTAGTTTATATAGACAAATAAATATTAGATCCGTGCTGATTCCACCTTGAAAAATATGAGACTTGAGAATACAAGTCCTGATATTTGTCTTATTATTAAACCAATATTATTAATCAGCTTTCAGATATGATCCAGAAAAGTCAAATTGTTTTACAGTAGCACAGTGTGGTGCAAAGATTATTTAAATATATTTCACAGAAGCAAAGACTCACAAGAGACAATAGAGGTAATACAAGGTCATTTAGCTAGCACTTGCCACGTTACCTGATTTGACAGGAGAACCTTGACATTGTAACAGTCTAAAGCGGGAGAAACTCTACACTGGCAGTCAGTCTGCTTACTGTGTAAGTTCCAAGACTATAATAAGCAGACTGTGTACATATAATTGTCGTATTTAGTAAATATCACACGAAAACTTATCAATTCTATATGCAGACAACATCCTCGTAGCGATCATTAAATTCATTTGAATTTAGAATCAATTTTAAAACATATTTTACAGAATTACTGGTATTATTGTAACACAATAAAGTAAAACTGATACAATAAAGTTAACATGTTTAAAGACATAACATCTTACTACAATTAATTTTCTTTCTTGCTTCAGTGACTACCACTGAAATATGTAATTTTCAATTCATTTCATTTATAGATATGATGATATATTGGTATTATCTGCTACAGTCACTTCTTTCTGCATAATTACATTCCTGACTCCATGCCTAAAAAGCAATATTGCTCATATTTTGACTCTCACATGAGATAGAATAATGTTATTAATATTTGAGAATGATGAGATAAGGAAGTTTTTAAAATTTTCTTTGTATCTCAACTGTAAACTTATTTTAACAATGTGAGTTTAGAAATTCACTGCTTTTATTCTAGAACATTAGAATATCAGACAATTTTAATTTACAGTATTCTCCCATGCAAAAATAGGGCAGCAAAAGTTTTTCATTTGATTTAATACATATCTTTATTTATTTTTTTAACAGAAGCAAAAACAGACCTTAAAAAGTAGGCGTTTGTGGACTGATATGTAAAAAATAAGGACTAATTTGATAGTTATATGATCATGTCAGTTACATAAAGATTTTTTTTAAAAGAGAGGTAGTTAAAATGAAATAAAATGTTTTCTATTTGTATTGGCATGCCTTTTGACCTCCTAAGTAACCTTAACCTGGTGTGAAAGTTAGTCTACATGACCTTGTGAAGCATGCATGTGTAAGTCATAGATTAGTTTTACAAAGACTTTTACATATTGAAAAAACAACTTGTTTTATAATTCCTTAATATAAACCCAATACCAAAAGCTTAGGCTATACCTCTAGAGAAGTCCAAAAGCTAAGAGAGAGCCCTCCATCCCTTATACTGAAAACCAACACAAATAAGAGGAAGCAAAGAAAAAGGACACTCTAAGCCCCTGGAAGACAATATTAATCTCCAATCTCTTATCCAATGATCAGGCAGGAAAAAATATGATATTTTTAATTGTGTAATTTCAGAGGCCATTATTTAGGTGATTTAAAAGGCCATACTTTTTTAGAAAAAAAAAAAGCAGCAATTTCAATATTGCTATTTGAATACTCTGTGGTGTCATAAAGTTCCATGTCTGCTGTATGCTCATCTCATAATTAATCGACTTAAGACTTTTAGTTGCAACTAAAATGCACGACCCAGAGTTCATGATCTTTTCTAACTCATGAAAAAATTTAATTAAGACATAAATAAAATATATTTTTGCAAAGGTGTTTATTAAAGGGGCTAAGGATGTAGAGGAGGAAAATATAGTATTTATGTTTACACACGATTGGTTATTACCTAGAGTGATAAAAATGAAAACTTCTATCAGCTAAAATAGGTAATTTTATTGATATATGTGATCAAATGGACAAAAAAGCCCTCCAAAAATTAGGAACTGCTCTAGAAATCACAGTAAAGCTAAAAGGAATGTTTAGGACTATGTAAATCTACACTCAAATCTCCAGGAGAAACAGTAGGTAATCTCTTCTCTTAGGAGAGAAGAGTTTTCCCTTTAACTTAACAGAATCATCCAGTCATGTTTGCGGAAATTCAGTCTTCATTAGGGCTTAAGAAAAAGTTCCTTCAATAGATTATTCATTAATAACTCAATCATAATTCCTTACTTTATGATAATAGTTAGCATTAGTAACAAAGCCAAAAATAACCGAGAACCCATCTATTATTTTCTTTTAAATCTCCTTCTTCTTTCCTTTTCTCACGAGCCCAGAAAACGTGTTTGTTTTGGAAGCAAACGACAAACTCTACAAAAGGAGAACTTAAAGTGAGTGATTAATGATCAAGGCAAAAATGTAAAACCACATCAGCTGATGAGTGGCTGACTGACCCCAGGTTGAAGAATGTGAGGGCATTAAGGCAAAGCTGAAAAAGAACATTCCTTTTGCTGTTAAGTGACAGGCACGCGACACCACATCATACTCTGAGATATCCAAAAACAAATGCACTGTTCTAAGTTTACACAACCACCAAAGGTGATCTCTGAAAGTCACAGGAGACAGACTGTCCAGAGCCTTGTTACATACAACTGCAGACACACTACTTACAGCCACTGCATAGATCTATTGTCATGGCCTTCTTTAAGAAATTCCATTGCACTCCTTAATGAGTAACATAGCCTAAAATCTCTGAACATGGCCAATAAAGTTACATGAGTGGAATCTAAGTAAATGACGTTCACCATCTTAGAATGAACAGAAAGTGAGTACACACCAGGACAAAAACTTCTGATTGCAGAACTTTTAAGAAAAATATTGAACACACTAATCGTGTTCACACTTCTTTGTGATGGAGACATAAATCATGTGCCCTTCTAATAGAGGAAGTCAAAGATGAGAGAAAACATCAGTATTAAAAACAAACATAATTCTTAATATTGTATTGAAAATTAACTAGGAACAGGGACAAAGCCAAAACACATGTCAAAAGCATGCCTTAATGAGTTTGTCTTGCTGATGCGTCACCATGCTTAGTTTATCATGTTTCCATGATGCAGGTGGGGGTGACGGTGAGGGGCTTGCATGGGGAAATGTGAAAAGAGCCAAACAGATAGGAGCTTCTATTAGCTGCCGTCTCCCCTATACCGAAATTTACATTTATCTTTTATGCTACAAAGCAAATTGTACCTCAGAGCCAGTAGCAATATTATTTTTACAGATGAGTAAGGTGGACAAACACGGTGTGGCACTCTTAAGAATGTGCCTTAAAGACCTCCATCTAGAGGGGGTGTAATTGACCAAAGGTCCAAGCTGCTGAGGCTCAGAAGTCCACTGCTGGATTTGCAGAGTCCATGCTTCCCACCAGCTGCTCCCAGCCCACACCTGAGCACAGCAGGGACACCAGAGTAGACCATTCCTGGGATATTGGGACTCCTCTGACCACGGATTTTGGCCCGGGGACTCCCAGATAGCCTTGCCTGTCATATGTTGGATATTTGATAGTTATCTTTGGGGAAAATAAAACATCGTTGTTACTGAGTTGTCAAAGCCCAGGTTGCTGCCTAAACATCAAAAATTGAACTCAGTGTGAAACTTAGTTTTAAGATGATTTTCAGCTTCCTAATGTAATTCCAGGGAGCTGAACTACAGCAAGTGGGTTAGAAAACTACAGAGAGGTAGATTTTTGTTCAATACAAATACAACCCCTGATAGTCAGAGGTATCTAATAGTTAAATGGGATGCTGCAATCCACTCAACTACTCTTTGATAATACTAACATCCCCATTTTATAGAACAGGAAACACTAGGCTTGCAGAAGCCAAGTTCTCAGGGTTATACAATTTTAGGAGTGGGAGCCAAGATTCCAAACGCAATCTTGCTCGGCCTTTTCACAATGACCACCCAGTTAGAAGACATATCTTTCATGAGAAGACGCTGAACGCTTGTATTGGCCATCGATGGGTGGTTGGACTATGCGATATGTAAAAACACTTCAGTGCTAAACTTTGATGAATCTTATAAGAAAATTCACTTGATGATGTCCTATCTTTTTCATTTTATATAGGCCACATTTCTTTTTCATACATCATGGAACAAGTAAATCTACAAACCTAACTTGTATTTCTTAATTTCTGTTACAGTTATCAAAGCACTCAGATAAGACTATGTTGTTTTCTTTAAATATGGCAATGGAAATTAATATCACTAAGCAGGAATCTGT